CAAAGGCCAGGCTGAGAGGGAGCTCGCCAAGGCTGTGTAGAACAGTGAAAAGCAGAGAACAAGCCACTTGTCCAAAAATGGAGGCTCTTTAGTCACATGGATTCTACCTCATCCATAGTGACCCCTGCAGCAGCCGAGCGTGGCAGGACCACACCTGTTGGCACAGACCCCATGATCTATTGTGAGGTAGAAGATGCAGGTCACAAAGCGAGGTATGTGATAAAATCTCATTTTATAAGAACAATTCACACGTATGACAAGCACAGAGAAGCTCAGAAAGAAAGTGGACTCAAGAGTTAACAGCAGCCGGGCTCGGTGGCTCAGCCTGTAATCCCGCACCTTTGGGAGGCTGAGGTGAGTGGACTGCCTGAGCCTGTGGGTTCGAGACCCACCTGGGCAGTGAGACCTCATCTCTACAATAAAATCAAAAAATTAGCCAGGCATGGTAGCGCGCACCTGTAATTCCAGCTACTCGGAAGGCTGAGGCGGAAGGATCGCCGGAGCCCAGCAGGTTGAGGCTGCGGTGGCCAGGAGCGGCCACTGCACTCCAGTCTGGGCGACAGAGTGAGACTCCAATTAAAAAAAAAAAAGAGTTAACAGCATTCACCTCGAGTGACGGGTGGCGAGTGTTTCATGTTCTTGGACCAGCCTGCACTTCTGGATCTTATAAAATGCACATGGATCTTGTCTACATCGAGAACAACAAAGACACCAACCTTGGGATGGCCAGAAGCCCCACCTGCTGCCCACTGAGGGGTGTGGCGGGACTGGTAGGCAGCAGTCATGGCCACCTCTGCTATGACTGGGCATGAGGCCAGGCTGCACAAAGCCCCTCCCCTGGCCTTGACTTATGTGTTTCAAGGCATCTTCCCTTAGTCTTACTTAGTCCCCTCCGTCCTCTGTGAAAGGATAATTACCCCATTTTGTAGGTAAGAAAAGCAAGACCACAGAGCAGAGTGGTGATGAGCAGGTTACCTGACACCAGATCTCACCAGCGACGTCCTTTCCCAGTGGGACTCTGCCCCACTAGGGGTGGCTCGGGACTGTGGATGGCACGTGAACAGGGGTCCACAGCCCTGCTCTGAACCCACCTCGACTCTGAGAAGCCAGCTCTCAAGCCTCTGCAGGAATGATCATCCCACACAAGGACCAAGCACTACTACACAGGGAGATCACCTGGTACCTGCCCGATGCTCCAGAGGGGACCCCGCCTCAGTGCCACTGGGATTGCTGGAAAGGCATCCATCAGTAGGATCAGCACTGAGCTTCATGCAGCTCCTACCCCAGCTCTGGCCTCTCTCTGAGGCCGGAACAAACGAGTCTTTCTTCCCATTTATCCAATTCCTATTCTCTGCTTCTCCACTTGGGTTTAAGAGATAGGATGAGGTCGGACACGGCAGCTCATGCATGAAATCCCAGCACTTTGGGAAGCCAAGGTTGGAGGATCACTTGAGCCCAGGAGTCCGAGACCAGTCTAGGGAACAGAGCAAGATCTCATCTCTACAAAATATTAAAAAATTAGCCAGGCATGGTGGCTATAACCCCAGCTACTTAGGAGGCTGAGGCAGGAGGATCACTTGAGCACAGGAGGTCGAGGCTGAAGTGAGCCATGATCATGCCACTGCATGTACTCCAGTCTGCGTGACAGGAGGAGACCCCCACTCATAAAACAAAACAAAGGCAAAAAGAGATTCAGGAGGAGAGGGGGGAAGAAGAGTTAGACCAACTCTGGGGCTCCATGTAACAGCAATGAACTGAAAGCATACCCTCTGGAAGTTGGTCTGTGCCGAGCTGCCATGTGAGACGCCAGCCCTCACAGGCCCCCAGAACTGGCAGGGAAGGGCTCTGAGTCATTGCAAATGCTCAGTGTGTCACCTATAGGCAAAGAAAACACGTGTAGATGTGACAGTCCAGAGCAAAGGTTGCCAGAGTCCCAGTGTGATGTGATAGGTGGAATCCAGGCAGGTTTGGCCAGGTCCACCCATGGCTGAGCTGTGATCACGTGTTGGACCTGTGCCGAGCCCTGAGCCGCTGAAGGCAGGCAGGACCACCCGGAGAGCACACAGACCGGCCTGCACTGGATGTGGCACAGCCTACAACTGGACTATACTGCACTGGTGTCACATACAACTGACGGATTCTGGGGGCTTCTGGGAGTGCAGGATATGTGAGTGGAAAGACAGCGCAGGAGGACCAGGCACCGGCCCGGTGCCACGTAAGAGGACGATGGTGCAGACCCAGGTGTTCTTTGGACCCACATCTTTCCTGAGGACACCCTGCCTGGCCCCAGGAGCTCCATTCCATGCCAACAGGGCAGAGCGTGAGGGACATGGCCTGCCCTCAGGAGCACCAAGTGTGTCTGAGGCCACGTCCAGCTCAGCCACTTTCAGCCACAGGACCCTGGCAGGTTTCTCTGAGCTCTGGGACCCCAGTTTCTCCTCTGAAATGGGAAGAATCGTGGTGCTCACCCTGCAGGTGGCAGTGAAGACTGAATGAGACCCTGAAGAGAGGGTGGGGGCCTACCATGTGGAGGCCCTTGACATACCTGAGCCACCATGGTCCTCCCAAGAACCTCACCTTCCTCCTGGCTGGTTTGGGAGCTAGAGAGACAGGAAATCCAACATGGGCCCGCCTGCAAGAGGCTCTCAGCAGCAGAGCGAGGTAGTTTTGGAGTCCCGGTTAGTGCGGTGAGGGTGAGGGGTCTGGCTGAAAACTCGGACCCCAGGTCACTAGGAGAAAGTCATGTAACCCAAGAAAGCATGCTAGTTACCCACCGCCTGCTGCAGTACGTGGGCAGCACAGAGGCCACCAGCCCGCGCCAGTCCACCCAGGACAGCTGCCACTCAGGCCCAGTTGGTCTTACCCTGGGGATGAGGGGACGGCTCTCCCCTTTCCAGAGAAGCCAGGAAGCCAAGAATTAGCCAGACGGTCTGGGTTCTGGAATGTTGGTAACTGACACCAAAGTGCTGTAAGCACCAAGCTAACTAAGCTAGCCTGTCTTGAGCAGGCCAGTGGGTGACACTAGTCTTTTGGCTTAGGGCACGTCCCACAGACACCCACGTTCTGAAAATCCCTTGCTGGCAGCCTTCCCTTGAAAACTCCCAAGGACATGAGTGAAGAGGGAAGAACAGGAAACATTTCTATGCAGAGCTGAGACCAAGGGCTTTTAAACCCCCCAGAGCATGGGCTGGCCCTGGTGTCTCCGTGTCTGGGCAGACACCTCTCTACTGGTATGGGTCACCTGGGCGGGCACCTCTCGGCTGGAACAGGTTCCTCCAGCCCCCACTCCCACCCAACACTCCTCTCTTCCCTAACATGACACCACACTCACCACGTGTGGGCACCATAGAAGCGTTTTATGGATAGTACCCACATGGTCCTCTGAGAGCTGGACAGATGGGGAGACTGAGGTGCAGAGAGGCTGAAGAGCTTGCCTAGAGTCACCCAGGGACGGAAGTGGGGCCAGTGCTCAGAATATCACTCTATGCTGCCTCCCTCAACCCCGGGCTCTCAGGCATGAGTCCTCCTGAGCCTCTGGCCACATCCTCTAGGCAGAAGTGATCCCTGCCCCCACCCCCTGCCCCCACGCATGTGGCTCTGCCTGTCCCCACAGAATTCACCAGCTAGAGCCAGTTCTCCCATGAGCCAGCAGGCATCCCCAGGGTCATATGCCACAATCTCGTGGGGTCACTGCTGATCAGACCACCAAGTGCAGCCTCGAGACAAAGCCTCTGCCTCCTTGGCCTCAACTTTGAGCCGGCAGATCTACTGCAGACATTCTGTGCCATTATCCAGCCCAGAGCCGAGCCAGAGACAGAGCCCGGAAGCCAAGCAGGCCCACACTGCTGCCCACCCCAAGGCAAGGCAACTCCTGACACCCACCTGGCTACTCCATTGGGCGGACTTTGGAGCTCCTGGCAGAATGCAGCTCCTGGCATAAAATCACACACACGTGCTCACATGCACACTCACATGCTCACACACTCAAATGTGCTCACACACTCAACCATCCACAATTCAACATGCTCATACTCAACACATAGATCACACATGCAACACTCACATGTGCTCACATGCACACCCACACACAAATCACACATGCTTACTCTCCAACACATGGATCTCACACACACATATACAGCTCTCAGGAGCACTGAGCAGAGAAGCAGGTGGAGTGTGGTGCAGACCCCAGCACTCCGACAGCACAGACAAAGGCACACAGAAGGCGGGTGCACTGAGGACCTGCGACAGCCTGGAGGCCGTACCCACAAGCCCACCAGAGCATCCCACCGCTGAGGGCTGTGGCATCTTGTCCGGCCTCTGACATGTTCAGAAGGTTAATTAGCCAAGCCGGTGAGGTTCAAGGCTCTGGGAGCTCCCCCACCAGGGCTCTCAAGGGGTGGGCCTCAGTCAGTCTCTACTCAACACTGCAGAGGACACCTGGCCAGACAGGGGACCACCTGCCCCACAGCTTGGCCAGAAAGCAACAAAGCACACAGGGGATCCAGTCCCAGGGCTCCGACCTCATGTGGCTTAGACAGGAGGCGGCAGGAAGGAGCGGCTGTGGCCTTACAAAGTCCTATTCTCACCATGGCCTTACGAAGTCCTGCTCAAAGGTTTCCCTTTCTCACAGGCAGCCCTCCTGGCCCTGCTGACCTATACCAACTCTCCTGCCTGTGAAAAGGTATGACACATCCCTGGCTATTACCACCCGGTCCTTGTGTAGGGCCAACACCTGAGAGCATCACTTGTGAAGCCAGGTGCTGTGTCATGTGCTCTACACACACCATTCGACACACCCTTCATAGGCACTCCCAGAAGTGGATGGGATTCTGCCCATGACTGATGTGGGAGGGCTGCATGTCCTCACTAGTGCACACACAGTGGGGTAGCAAGACTGTGCCACCCCTCCCACCCTGCGTAGGTACAGTTAGCCACAGAGGACCGAGTGCCACAGCCATAGCGGGCGCTGACCTATCTGCCCCAGAACCTGTGGGGTATCACGGGTAAAAGCCCTGCTGGCCATATAGCCAGCTGACCGCAGACCCAGATCCTGTGGGAGCCATGAGTGTCGTAACTGCCGAGCCAAGCCCATGCCTGGCTGTGCTGATGACTGAGAGACACTGCTCAGGCTTTTCCCTCATCCCCTTTAGTCAGGTGGAGACCCAAGCTCTGACGAACAGTGTGTCACCCAGTACACGCAATGGCCAAGCCCAGCCTCACTGGAACAGCCAAGCCGGTTGCCAGCAAAGGACCAGGGGACCCCGGCCTCACCTTTGACAGCGTAGGCCTCCGCCAGCATACGCAGCCTGTAGGGGGGTGCAGCTGTCAGCGGCAGGTCATCCAGGCCTACCCGGGCATAGATGTTCAGTGCTTCCTTGTAATCGCCTTCCACGTAGTTCAACTTGGCCATGATCAGATTGGATTCTTGTAGGAATTCTGACTAGAAGGAAAAGGAAAGAGAAACATGTTCCCACAGTATTAGGCGTGATGCTCCCTTGGGCCCAGCCATCTGCTGCTGGAAGCCCCACCGCTCCCTACGCAAAAGCTGGCGTGCCAGTGCTCACAGTGCTCATAGCAGAGTTGTTTACAAGAGCCAAGAAGGAGAAACAGCCCAGAGGGCCATTGGAATGTGTGCAGCCACAAAATGGAATACTGCTCAGTCATGACAATGAATAAAAGCCTGGGCAACGTAGCAAGACCCCACACAAAAAACTTAGTTGGAGATGGTGATGGTGCCTGCAGTCCCAGTTACTCGGGAGGCTGAGCGGGAGGATTGCCTGAGCCTAGGAGGTTGAGAATGCTGAGCAGGCCCGCAGCAGAGAAACGTACAACTCAGAGAGGCTGGGTAACTACCTGAGATCACTCAGGGTGAAACTCAGCCCCGACCAGACTCCAGCATTTCCCAGGAAATCCAACGAGCCTCCTGCCACACTGGCTCTCAGAAAATGGAGAGCAAAGCCACAGCGCCAGTGAGGTGAAAGGTCACTCTTCAGGGTGAAGCTGGGGTGGGAAGCGGCCTGGTCCAATGGCCATCACTGCAAGCTGGGCCTGGGAGCCCAAAGTCCCTCCATTCTCTCCTGGGTCAGGACCCACTGCCTATGTCCCCAGAACCACCCAGTTAAGAACAGCTGACACAGAGACAGCCGCTCCCTGAGTCGCCCCACGAGCCCAGGCCCTGTCTCCAGGGTTGAACAGGGAGGAGGACCAGGCTCTGCAACCCAACAAGGAGAGTCCACAGGCCCTACTGCCCATGCTAAAGCCACACTGTGTCCAACACAGACATCCACAGGGACTGTTCTGAAGAGCAGCTCTGTCAGGTTCCCAGAAGCTGTTGCCACAGACACAGGCACCAATGCTAACTCACACAAGCCTTGCCCAAGTCCTCGCTTGCAACAGGGCCGGCGTGGCAGAAAAGGAAGACGAGAACGTTCCAGCACAAGTGCTCATGGGAGCATGAGGAGTCCGAAGGCCCAGGCTCACCCCTTGGAGAGCCCACCCCAGTCAGACTTACACAGGTCAAGGCCCAGGGAGGAGAGTGGTCTCCCAGGGCCTCACAGCAAGCTGGGGCAGTGGAGTTCCCACAGGGACAAGCAAGGCTGTGGGGAAGGGGAAGGACTGGAGCAGGAAGGGAAGGCAGAGAGGAACCACCAGCCTTCAAGGAAAGGAAGGCGGGGCTTTAGGAGTCCGCCAGGCCACCCTCAGTCAGACAATGTAGGGAGGAAGGGGGCCTGAAAGAGGGCCGGGCTGCGCTGCGGTTAGCTCCGGAAACAAAGGAGAGGCCAGGCTGCAGAGGGTGTCAGGACAGGGGAGGGAGGCACGTCCAGGGTGGGGGAGGTGGGCAGGAGAGGGGCCTCCCCCTCCACCAATAAAGTAAAAGGACCTAAAGGTACTCAAGAAGCACAAAAGGAAGCCGCCTAGGAGGGAGAGGCACCGGCGTGAGGAGGCCAGGACAGACAGAGCTGAGGGTCCCACCCTAGAGCACCAGTCTCCTCAGGCTCCCGCACTTGAGATACCTGTTGGCACCACAAAACGCCGCAGCCCAGGACCCAGCACTGACCATTCAGGAGCAGGAAACTGGTACCTCCCCCACACACTCCAGCCAGTGTTAAGTGAAGTTCCTGGTCACCCCCATCACCTCCCCGTCTGCTGGTCACCTCTCCATCACCCCTGTCTCCCGGTCACTCCTCCCCTGTCTCCTGTCACGCCCCCCCATCTTTTTCTGTCTCCATTACCTCCCCCACCATCTCCTGTCACCTCCCCCCATATCCCATCACCTTCCCCCTATCTCCCTGTCACCTCCCATCTCCTGTCATCTGCCTGTCATCTCCCCGTCTTCTGTGATTTCCCCATCTCTCATCACCTCCCTGTCTCCCATCACCTCCTCGTCTTCCAGTCACCTCCCCAGCTCCCATCACCTTCCCATTGTCTCCCATCATCTCCCCATCTCCTGGTCACTCCCCATCTCTCAGTCACCTCCCATCATCTCCCCATACCCTGGCCACTCCCTCTCTCCTTGTCACCTTCCCATCACTCCCATCTCATGGTCACCACTCGTCTCTACAGTTGGCAGTGTCATGCTCAGTGAGGCTGAACTCTGGGCCACATGTGACTGCTTTACTCCAGCACCCAGGGAGATGGTGCAGCTGTTCAGGATGGTGTCATCAAGACACACCTCAACCCTGTGGGGCCAAGGCAGTCAGTATCCCAGGAGGGACAGGCCGACCTCATGGCACATGCAGCAGGCCCCAGGCCTTACCCAGCATCCCTGGACCCCCTAGCTACACTCCCCAGAAGGGCTCCAACACCTCACTGCTTCCCGCATCCCCGATGCCCATGGTACCTTAAGGTTCCCTCGGTCCAGGGCAGCTGTCAGGTGCTTGCGGACCTCAGTTAGCTGGGGCCTGTGGCCACGAGGACTGGCCCCCTGCCTCAGGGGGTGCTCCTTCAGGTGCTGCTCCAGCTTGGACTCCCCAAGGAGAAGTTCAGCCATGTCATCTACAAAGGCAAGAAGGGAGGCCAGATGGGAGTGATGAAGGACCCTGGGGACTCGAGGACCTGGGACCAGGGGGAAGGAGGACTGGCCTCTTCTGTGCCTTCTGGGTATGTTTGCATGAAGCCTTGCTCCTGGGTGCATGCTATATATAATTATACTCTTTTTAGTGTCTGTGTGGCTCGTTAATTAGAATGAAAGCTCGTCCAGGCAACTCTTCAGAAGCCACTTCCCCAACTGTGCTGAAAATACCCAGAGCCACTCACACCAGCCTGAGTGTGGTCTGCGTCTCTATAATCGAACAGCAATAATTGTATCAAAATATGGAATCAGGTTTAGAAGGTGTGAATGACTGCATCCCAGGCCCCTGATGGGAGTTACCAACAGGTACCAATGAGGGGACCTCAAGGGACTGGGGGCAAGGTGGACTTTCGCTTTAACATTCTAGTCCTAGAAAGGAGAATGGACCTGCCTGTCACGTGTGCACTCTAAAATGAATTCCAAAAGTGAGCACTGGAGCTGCGGAGAGTACACTGACCTCACCCCGTGTGCCCCTCACCAACACCCGCCATCATGATCAGATTCCCAGATAGAAGGCCAGGCTCATCTGGGAAGGCCCATCCAGAAGTCCTCTCCAACACCTATCCTTAAAATCATACCCCCCCAAACAGGAAACAAGCCTCACGTGGGAGAACTATCTAGAAGTTCCTCACCAACACCTGCCCTTGAGGTCACTGGTTTCCAAGAGGGACCTCACGGAACCCATCTGAAGTGTTCTGAACAAGCCCAGACCCATCGGTGCCTTGTTTCTTTGGTTTTACATCCTAGCCCTGCCTAACTTAGACAATGGTCTCATTGCTACAGAAAAGTGTCAAACTTGCCACCGATGCTTGCAGGATTGGCATCCCTGTTCCTCCTGGTCTCCGGAGGTAGGAATGCACCAGGGACCTGAAGCCAAGATGTGAGAGGGCCTAGCTCTGCCCCACACCTGGGAAGAAGGTGCTGGGATGGTCAACAGAAGCCAGGGATCTCCTGAAAAGTCCCTTCCCTCAGGAGGTGCCAGCTTCTCAGGACAGTTCACATACTGTGAACTCTGCTGAAGACTTGCTAGTCCTGGATGGCAGGAGGAGACAACCTTTCACCAGGAATGCGACAGGTGCACATCTGAAGGGTAGGATGGGGGGAAACGCATCCCAGCAGAGTGAACAGAATGTGCAAAGACTCAACACAGCCTGGTCATTGGGGAATGCCAAGGCATCTGGTGGAGCCAAACCATGAGTGCTGAGAGGAAAGGAGGGACAGGCCAGCAAAACCAGCACCCAGGTCTGGGGCAGCAGCCAGCACCTAGAAGACCCCCCACCTAATGGGACACACAGCGAGGTGGAGGCACAGCTGTCTATGAAATTTCCAGGCTCTAATTTACTTTCTCACGCAAATTATGTTTTCACTTCCAGTTTCTGCCTCCCTTTAAAAAAGGCAACTGCCTGCCACTCATGCTCCCACCCAGAGGGCAAAAGTATAAGATTGTCAAGGGCCCGTACCAAGGAATCATTGAGGCTGCACGACCTGGTCCTCCTGACAGGGGCACTGAGTGAGGCTGGCCTTCGGGGCACAGAGGCACCAGCCGGGTCAGCGTCCACCCACAGCAGGAGCAGACATCACTGGCCGGCCCTCCCTGCCCAGCAATGTGTCCAGTCACAAGCCAGGACAGCGAGGCAGGAGGAAAAGGCTCCTGGGTACACAAGGAAATTGGTTCCAGATGGATTAAGAAGTCAGATGTGAGAGGATCAAAATGATAAAAACAGACCTCCACTCCCAGCCAGGATGGAGTAACGGGGACCAAAGTCACCCTCTGAGACGACCACAAAGGTTTTCAAGATGACAAAGGACAGGGCCCCGGTGGGCAAGTGACGGACAAGGGACCCCCAGGGCCTCTGGAGGCTCCAGGAGGCTCCAGGTGCTCACAGGAACAGGCCTCGCATCAGAGTTCTGTTTACAAGACCCAGTCTGGCAAGTCTCCCCCACATGCCAGTGTATTCCCTGGGCATAGGGTGGCCCAACTAGGAACCCACAGCCATATACAAGCTGCAGGGTCACTATGTGGACTACCACCTGGGTTCCAGAATGGAGACCCAGGCGGTGCCGTGTAAAGGAGAGCCTGGCATGACCCTGCCCCTCACTGATGCCCTGTGTGGCCTCTCTGAGCCTCTGTTTCCCTACCTGGCTGTCAACATGTATCATGCATGTGGTGTAAGGCAGGTACGGACACATGAAGCCACTGACACCGTCCTTCTCTCTCGTCTAGGATTTATAATTTCCCAGAATGGCTGTGTCGGGTCTTGTGGGGCCAGAAAGCCCTGGAGATGCCCCCCTGTGCTCAGGAGGCCAGCAGCGTTGGACAGGAGCATCATGCACATTTGTCATCAGCCACCACACTGTAGCCTGTACTGTACCATGCACCTGGTGAGTAGGTTCACGATGCTGGTAGTCCTGGAAGCAGCAACAGATGCTGCGACTGTCCTCATCTCACCAGATGGAACCTGCAACCAGGGAAGCAGTGCTCTGAGGGCTGCTGAGCTAGCTCATCCTGTGGCCGGGATCTGAACCAGGGTCCCCTGCACCGTCTCCCCACCACACCCAGCACAGGCCATCTAGACATTAGCATCCAAGGGGGCCCAGCTTCCTTCCCACCAGTGGGGTGACCCTGGACAAGCCATGTGACCCTTTGCAGTGGGGGAGCTGGAGTCCTTCTCTGCTCCACCTGCTGGGACCCTCAGGGACAGGAGTGAGGGGCTCCTATGGCCATTTATAGGCTAAGCCTGCAGGAACCAGCTCCCCATGACATGCAGAGGGGCAGGCCTGAAGCCAAGCAGAGAGCACAATACTGAGGAGGGCTGGGGCTGGCACCCTGGCCGCCCAGGAGCCCATGGCAGGTGTAGCTCCATGCCCCGGGAAGGCGGGTTGTGGCCTCTGCTCCTGAGGTGACACCCTCCTCACAGTCTCTCCCTGCAGGACAAGTGGTGACATGCAGAGATTTGATCAGATCAGACAGGGAAGGAGAAACAGAGGTTCCTACTTTGTTCCTGGGGTTCCTGACACCAACACAGAACAATCGACAAGTCGGCTGAGACATCTGAGTGCTGGTAGAGCGCACTCAAGTCTACCAGGCTATTCTGTAGCACTCGGATCCAGGAGGAAAAAAGGCCGTGTCCAAGCAGGGCTGGCTCCCAGTGCCCTCTGCTGCCCACAGGACACAGCCAGCACCTGCCCTTCTCAGCCTCAGACACACCTCCATGGGTCCTGTCCCTTGTGGGTCTGTCTTCTCACAGCCCCAGGTGCCTCGGTCCTTGTGGTCCCTACAACACCCCCAGAGAGGCTGACACCCCCATGTGGCTGTGGGGCACTACTGGCATGCGTGTCTCCAGGGGCAGCAGAGCAGCTCCAATAAAGATCATACTCGGCTTAAAACTGCAGCCTGAGGAACCCGTTTCATAGATACGAATGCTTCTGAGCACAGGACACGCAGGTAGGACGCTCATGGTGGCAGCCTACCCGGTCACAGCATCAGATAGACAGCACACACAGGGTCCCCAGGGCCTGTGAGACCGACTGTGATGGGGCGGTGCAATCAAACACATGTGGGGATAGTCATGACAGCCACCCGCCTTGTCACAGAATCAGATGGAGACCACCCACGGAGTCCCCGGGGTCTACAAGACTGACTGTGATGGGGCCGTGCAGCCATGCATGTGGGACGTTCATCACAACAGCCCACCTGGTCATGCATAGCATCAGACAGTGACTGCCCACGGGGGTCTCTGGACCCTTGTGAGGTGGACTGTGGCACCCTCATGCAATGGGACAGTATATCCATGAGCAGAGTTGGGCTTCATAGCTCCGCAGTGGCCCTACATGTAGTCCAACCTTCATGTCCTTGGAACCTACATGCAATGTGGCCTCTCGCACAGACCCTGGTCTAGCAACAGGATGCTCAGACAGCAGGGCAGAGGAAGCCGTGCTAAACACACAGGCTTGGGAAGGACAACTCACTTCCTTCCTCTTGCTTCTTGGTGGCCATCATGGGGGCACCCAGAACAACCCACTGGCATGGAGAGACCCCAGGGTGTGGGGCCCAGTCATCTCAGGTGAGGCTCTGGAGTGCAAGGGAGCCCACCAAGACAGCAAGACCATTATACTGATGGGCTGCAGGCCATGGTGCTGTAGAGCCCAGATCACGAAATCACAGCAGGGTCAGGGCCAGTTACAGGGGTAGGCCCAAGGAGGCGGGGTCCTGACCAGGGCGGGAAGAGAAGGCACATGCCCCCATAGGACCTGAGGGAGTGACCCATTGTACCAGGCCACCCTCCAAGCCCCCACCCCCTCCACAATGGAGGCCGGAGTCCTCAGGGCACCCCACCCCTGTTCCCACCCCACCCATCACACCCACATTCACACTGCAGCTCAGTGCCCACCCGTCGCAGGGATCATAAATACTTCCAGGATGAATCCTTCAGGCTGTATGTCTCCTTTCAGGGATGGGTCCAACCATGGGCATGGCATCAGGATTCTGCTCCCAAGCGCCTGGCACTGGGCCCAGCCATGACTGCAAGTGAGACCTGGACCTTCCCAGTAGTTCCTCCTACCACGCAACTACCTTCTTCCTCTTTTTTTTTTTGAATCGGGGTCTCACTCTGTCCCCCAGGCTGGAGTGCAGTGGCACGATCATGACTCACCACGACCTCCTGGGCTCAGGCAATTCTCCCACTCCAGCTTCTTGAGTAGCTGGGACTACAGACGCGTACCACCACGCCTGGTCCCTGCAACTGCCTTGGTTTAAACTGTGCTCGTGTACACACATACATGCACTCATGTGCACATGCAGGCTCACACACATACATGTACACATGCATGCACCCAGGCACAATCACACACGTACATGCACACATACGCACACATGTACATGCATGCACACACAAGCACATACTTCCCTAGTGAAACCCGATCTAGAAGGTAACTTGGAAACACTAGCCCAGAGCCCATGGCCCAAGTCCAGAGCCCTGTGGGGCAGGAAGTGACCCTCACAGGGCGGGGAGTTATCAGGCCAGACCAGAAGGCCTGGACACGGCCCTCAGGAAGCCAGCCCCACAGATGCACCCCACACACCCAGTGTCAACACATCCCACCCAGGCCACGTCCTCCAGGAAAACAGGCACAGCTACGGCAGGCATAGACATCAGCTGGTGTCAGGAGCAAGCAGGACCCACACTGGGCCTGAGGAGGAGCTCCCAGGGGAGGGATGTCTCTGAGCATCATCGGGGCATGGAGAAGGCCCAGCAGCAGGGCAGGGCATGGCAGGCAAAGGCAGAGTGGGAGGGGTGTGCCACAGGCCACCTCTGGGCAGTCAAGGTCCCTGGTCAAGGTTGGAGGAGAACTGATTCCTTCAGCCTGGGGGCTGGGTATGGGAAGGCAGCGTTTCCGGAGGGCCCTGGCATGGCGCCCAGTGGGGTCACCCAGTGGACCGGACACTCCTCGGAGCCAGCTCACTTCAGAGAAAATGCCGCTTCCTCTGGCT